AATTAAAACACATTTTACCCGCGCACGACGATGCGACAAAATAGGTGTCCTCCCTAGGCAAAATTGACGTTCCGGACGCGTTGGCGCAGTCCGTTTCGTCATCCGGGGTCGCTCGGACGACGTCGTCGACGGTCGGGTCAAAAACGCGTCGAAATTCAAATTTCACAAAAATATTGACCCGCGATCGATTGTCTCAAAAATTTCATTCGGGTCTTCGACGGGTAACAGTGCAAGCGATGTGAATTATGGCGATCGGACGTGTCGACTCTCCGAATTGCGAAGTTTGTGCGCGCGGGAGTGCGAATTGTGCAGAAGGCCACCCTAAGGCTCAAAAAGGTCCTATAGGGGTCCCTTTTGGGTTTCCTCATGTTGGTTTCACCCTTCTAAATGCTAGAAGTCGATACCACACACTTGGAACCACAAAAGAGGACGGAAATAGGTCGAACTAAAACGAGGCGGGCACCACTTCTAAGGTTCTAAGATAATCGCAGGAAGACCCCTAAGGCTAGATCCTAACTCCTACGAGAAAAAAACTAGACCTCACGAAAATTGAGGTCAACAATGTTATATTGTAACCCTATTGAGATATTGTTCTTTTTTTCTGAATTGAAAGAAAAACCGCCACTCTGCTCCCGAGGACTCATGCATCTTTGCCAAACCTCGTGTCGGCGTTTAAAAAGGGGGAGAGGTTACGTTTGGGGGTCGCCCGTAAGAAGCTGGCTGGTGGTCCCAAAGAGAAAATACCTTGAAATCCCGGCGCCCGCTTCGTAAGGACTTTTTAATTTTACGTATATATATATATAATTTTAGAAAAATATGGTTAAATCTCTGTATTTTCTTCTTGATTTGCGTCGATTCTTGCATTTCTCTTGCCCAAATTACTCTTGCCCTAAATTCTCAACAAGTGATATCACAGTGAGGTTATAGGGCAGAAGAGATCGGCGCAGGAAGGACGAAGAATGTTGACGATTTGGCAGAAAAGTTAGGCTAGGGTTCGGGTGGTTTGGCGCAGGAAGAGTATGCAAATCTGCGAATCGTGACATTCGACGAATTCTGCAAAGGAGTTCGGCGAGGGCTCCATCGGTTCGACCCAGGAAGGTCAAAGACGAGGGCTTCAGACGACCAAGATGAAAGTTTTCGGCGCAGGTTCAGTTTGGCGACCGAGCGATTGTTCGACGAAGGATTTTGTGCAAAGGAATTTTGGTGAGCGATTTAGCATTGAGGCAGAGGAAATCACAGGAAAAGTTTGCGGCATGATTAATTTCAGATGATAATGTCCGATACAAAATTTGAAGTGGTGAAGTTTAATGGAACTGGTAATTTCGGATTGTGACAAACAAGGGTAAAAAATTTGTTAGCGCAGCAAGAGATCTTGAAGGCTTTGCGAACAACAAAACCAGAAACCATGGAAGATGAAGATTGAGAAGAATTGCAATGAGCGACAACAACCATACATTTATGTCTGACAGATATGTATCACGTAATGAATCTAAAATATCTAAGAGAGGTATGAAAGAGATTGAAAACTCAGTTTATGTCCAAATCTCTAACAAATAAATTGTATCCGAATAAAAACTGTATGGGCTAAAGATGCAATAAGGCTCTGATCTGACGCAGTATGTGAATGTCTTCAATCAAATAATTACATATTTATTATGACTTGATGTGAGTATTGAGGATGAACACCGAACAATGATTCAGTTGTGTTCATTGTCTCCCTCTTATGAACACCTGGTGACTACTCTTACATATCCGAAAGAAACAATCAAAGTTGATGAGATTACTGCAGCATTGTTGGCACACAACCAGCAAAAGCAGAATACAGGGGAAAACTCTTATGGTGATAGTTTATATGTCAAGGGTAATCAAGATCATGGAAGGAAGCAAGAGAAAGAGGGTTCTGGAAAACGAAATTCCATATCAAAGTCCAAAGTTATAAATATGATTCATTGCTACAAGTGCAAAAAACCGAGTCATATGAAGAGAGATTGTCCAAATCTCAAGAAGCAGACTGATGAGAAACATGCTGCTTCATCAAAGTCTGTAAATGTGGTGCAAAGTGACAATTCATATTACAGTGATGGTGATATACTTTCAGTTTCATCAACTCAGTTCATGGATGCATGAATTCTTGATTCATGATGCTCTTATCACATAACTTCTAACATTGAGTGATTTACTTCATACAAGTCATCTAATTCTGATTCTGTCTATTTAGGTGATGATAAATGTTATAATATTGTTTGTATTGGTGAAGTCAGGATTAAGATGTATGATGACATTGTTAGAACATTGTGTGATGTCAGACATATTCCAAACTTGAAGAAAATTTTGATTTTCTTGGGCACTTTACATAGAAATGATTTTATTTCTAAAACAGATGAGGATAAAGAAATCATCAGAATTGTTAAGGGCGCGCTAACTGTGATGGAAGAAAAGTTAACTGCAGGGAATATCTTCAAATTGTTGGGAAGTATAGTTGTAGGTGAAGTTCATTCAGTGGAGTCAGATTGTGACAATACAAAACTATGACACATGCGTCTTAGTCATCTTAGTGAACGTGGGATAACAAAATTGCATAAAAGAAATCTGTTGCATGATGTGAAAAACTGCAAACTCAATTTTTGTAAGTTTTGTGTTCTTGGAAAACAGACTAAAATCAGTTTCATGACTGTAGAGAACAAAATTAAAGGAATTCTTGATTATGTGCATTCTGATGTATGGAGCCCTATTAGAGAATCGTCATTGGGAGGATCTCTATATTTTATTACTTTTATTGACGATTTTTCTAGAAAAATTTGGGTATATTTCTTGAAGCAAAAATTAAAAGTTTTCTCCAAATTCAAGTTGTGGAAGACTGAGGTGGACAAACAAACTAGCATAAAGATCAAGTATTTGAGGTCTGATAATAACACAGAGTACACATTCGTAGTTTCGAAAATTTTGTGAGAA